CTCCTGTCAATCATGGGCACACAGGCATCACGTTGTCAGAATTAAACCGTGCCGTAAATGTGCACTAAGCTGAGCGTGTGGCTCTGTGTACACAGTGAAAGTCAGGGAGAAAAGTTTATTGTAGAACAGACCCACAGGGCATTATTTACTAAAACTGGAGTGCGCAAAATCTGGTTCATCTCCACCATAGAAACCAATCAACATCCAGGTTTTATTGCCAAAGTTTAATTGAACAAGATGAGGTTAGAAGCAGATTGGCCAATTGCACCAGTTTTAATACATTAACCCCACAGGGTCTCCATTATAAAAACCCTATCAGCTTCTTAAAGTTTAATTATGCTTTGAAAAGGATAAGTTCACCTTATAGGAAAAAATAATAAATGCATATATTTGTGCAGGAAGATAAAAAAAAAAAAAAAAAAAGGGCGCATAATTTTTACCTTAACCCCTTTACGCTGGCTGCACACAAATGTGCAGCCTCCTGGCGTCTGGGCCTAGACACCGAGCGGCCGCACATTTGGGTTCAGGTAAGAAAAAAAAATGTGCTGAGAACGCACGCCCTGCGTGCTCCCAGCACACACGTCCGGTACTCACAGAAAGGTCCCGGTCTGCTCTTTCGATTGTGACCTTTCCCGATCATGTGACCACCGTGACGACGCGTCACGGCGGCATGATCCCTAAACCACACCCCACCCGCCCCGCCTCCTGGCTTCTGAAACTCTTAAAGGGCCGGGAGGCGCCGGCGGGAAGGGGTTAAGGAGACTGGTACAATGCCAGACTCCTGCAGGCAAGCCCTGCAGCTGTCAGTCCATACCTTCATACAGACTGACTGCTTGCAAGTGGCAAGGATTGTGAATGAACTACAAGGCCATTCATCAGCAACTTTGCAGCCCATTCAGAACTAGAAGCCGCAAAGACTGACGGTACTTGTAGTTGAAATCAATCAAAGGCCATGTGGTAGGCCACATCATTCATTCAAATAGCAACAGCTAGCCCTGGGAGAAAAATGTCCCCTCGCTGTCACTGGGAGAGGGATAAGTTTCAGCTGCTGGAACATGCAACATGTTACAAAAGGTGAACATAGACTAACTTGAAAAAACAAGTCAGCAATAGCAGCCTGAGCGGTTCTTTTTAAAAGGCTCTGGGAGACATTATAACCTATTTAGATTAAGACACGTTTAATTTTTGCTAATTTGCCTTTTCTGAGGAAGCTTTCAAACATTTGTGAAGAAATTTACCCCAAGAGAAAGAGAACATTTAATATCAGTATATCAAAATCAGTGAGCAATTTATAGAATATGAGTACTACTTGTTAACTTACTTGCCAAGACCAATAAAAGGAAACACAGCAACATAGTAACAAACGCATATCAAAAATATTAGCCAGAGACTGAGGGAAAAGTCCTTCACATCAGTCAGTTTGATGACTTCACCTAGAATAAGAGACATAAGAGTCAGTCATGAGAGAACTACTAAAATGTACAGTAGGTAGCAGAACTGCTGTCATAGCAATAGACTGTCAAACTGCTTAACACACAACCCATGGGTGGATCCATGCGCCAATTATCTTGAAATATTCCATCACAGACAACCCCTCTTCCAAGGCAACGTCTTGGAAGCTTAATGAGAGCTTACTACAAGACCCACTGATTTTAGCAGATGTGGTCAAGGTACTCGGTGACTACATTCAGAGTAACACTACCGCTGACTGTGACCCAGGGGAGGTCTAGGAAGTTCACAAGGCAGTTATTCGCAGTGTACTGATTAAGCATAGAGCTTGCATTAAATGAGAACAGACACTTGCTTCTCTTCTGGCCGACTTACAGCAGTTGGAAAATAGTCACTCACATTCTCCACCCATTGAAAGGGACCTGAGTTTACGGTGCCAAGTCTCGAACTTGCATAGGTACAAGGCAAAGGCGGCCATACAGGCTAGCAAGAAACTATTCTATGAATTGGGTAATAAATGCAGCCGGCTTCTAGCTAGATCATTGAGAGACCTCCACGTGACCACTTATGTCCCTCATGTCTTATACTCTGATGGCAGTGAGACCTCCTTCCCCAAAGCAATCAGACGTTTAAATACTTATGCTTCACTACATAATTTGCAGGTAAAGACTCCAACATGACAAATGTGTTTCATCCTCTGGCATGCCTAGGCTTCCGTCGCCAATTAGGAGTGAATTAGAAGTCCTCCCCCCATTTTCCTGAAAGAACTCCAGACAGTGGTAAGCCTCACTCAATCAGGAATATGCTTGCAATGTTCAGTGCTGCAATATGTAGCCTTATCCAACTTAACTGCTTCCCAACCACCCTATAGCAGAACTACTGCTACAGTGCAGCACGGCTGCAAATACACACACACACACACACACACACACGAGATTCTGTATTTCCGGGTAGGGGGCATGCGAGCGCCCTACCCACGCTCCCATTGGCAGCTACAGCTGTCAATCACCATGTCCCGGCCAGGATTCCCCACCGGCACCTGGCGATCGCCGAGGAACACTGATGGGGAGAGGTCTGTATGTAAACCATACAGATCTCTCCCTTGTCTGCTCTAGAATGCTACTTTGTATTGCTCTGCATAGCAGAGCAATACCAAGCAGCGTGCTTGCACAGTAACACACACAGCTAACCCTTTGATCGCCCCCAGATGTTAACCCCTTCCTGCCCAGTATCAGTACAGTGTCAGTGCTTTTTATTACCACTGATCACTATTAGTGTCACTGGGGATGTTAGTGACAATTTTTCAGTTCCCCCCAGTGTCAGAATGGCTGTCGCAGTCCCGCTATAAAGTAGCTTAACGCCGGCTGCCATTACTACTATAAAAAATTAAACACACACGAATTTGATTTTTTTTTTAATTTTTACTGGATATGTTTTATAGCAAAAAGTAAAAAATATTGTTTTTTTTTTTCCCCAAAATGTCAGTCTGTTTATAGCAAAAAAAAAAAAAAAAAAACCCACACGCAGAGGCGATCAAATACCACCAAAAGAAAGCTCCATTTCTGTGGGTGGGTTGGGGACATAAATGGGTGCAGCTGTGCATGACCGCACAATTGTCAAAGTAACGCAGCGCTGTATCGGAAAAAAAAATGGCCTGGTCAGGAAGGAGGGGGGTTGGTGGAGAATCCTCTGGAGGGAAAGTGGTTAAAGATCAACTTCCCCAAATCCAAAGCAATGGATGTGGCGATCTAACCTTTACTCCACCAGCTCCAACTTTCCTTCAAATTCAAATGGACGGATACCGCTTTGAAATATCTAGGCACTTTATCCCGGCTAGCCTCCCTCATACCCTTGAGCTTAAACTTCCCTACGCTTCTCAACACGGTCCGTACTCTAGATAAGTAGCAACAGACTTCACTCCTGGTTTGGGAGATGCAATATAGTCAAAAATCTTCATCCTGTTGAAATTTTTATACTTGTTCCAAGGCTTACCCATCTCCCTACCATACAGTTATCTTCAAAAGGTTAACTTCCTTCTCACTAAAATCATCTGGGCTGGAAGGAAGTCCAGCCTTCAACACCGCCTTCTGACGTTTCCTAAACATATTGGAGGATTGACAGTTCCTGACCTTCTTAAATATTACCAGGCAGTGCATCTGGGTCGCCTTATACATTGGTGCTGCCATGGAGATATTAAACACTTTGGCCACGATTATAAAAGACCCAAGGTGACTTAAACTATCACCTGCTGTGGTGTTGTCTTCTTTCAGGATACATCCCTTGGTGGGCACCACTGCTCAAATCTGCCTCCAATTATTCTTTCACGAACTTGTCCTCCCTGTACTCCCCATTGTTCCAAATCCTGGAGTGTGCTGTGTACTATTACCCGCCCCCAATGGAAAAAAAACCCCACAACCATTAAAATAGTTAAGCAAAGTCATGCTCCGTGAGGTTTGATTTTAAAGCTGTATTAAACCCAAGAGTATACATTTTGCACCTTACGGCCCCTTCCATATGGGGCAGGCTCCATTAGCTCGAATGGGGATCGGTCCGCTGAGCAGGCAGATGGCTGCTCCGCGTCTGTTCCACTTAAGCACAGTGGACACAGACCGCTTTCCTTTATGGGTGATCAGATGTAAACTGACTGTCTATTTACACCCAAATGTCATCCAATCCGCTAGAAGGGGAGAACGGATCCCCATCTGTCTGTTTTTAGTGGATCAGATATAGGCAGATGAAAAATCAGACGTCAGTTTACACCCAACGCTCCATAGAGGAGAATAGAGGGTCCGAGTGGGTCCACAAGGAGGAGGAAGGAAAAAAAAAAAAAAAAAACCCACACGACAGGCGGATCCGATCAGTCCACTCGTGTGAAAGGGGCCTACCAATTCTTAGAAGTTACATCCATATTTAGATTCCTTTTTTAAGCCGTCTTGATTTTAATTTTCACATGGTGAACAAGCTAGCAAGTCTTTCAAAAGCACAAGCTCTCCAGAAAAATGTATCAGTTTGCATGAATGAGGCAAACCACTGACGGGTGATTAAAATGACCAGCATTTATTCATGCGACACCTTTATCCCAAAAAGAAAACAAAAAACGGTTTGCTGTAACGGACTATAAAGTGTGAGCTGGAGTTTGGCGGTCATTTGTTAATGTATCTGAATTTGCTAATACATTTAACACTACCTGTATATGTTTAAAGTCCAAATCCAGCTGTCACTTTCAAATAGTTTGTTTTGACCAAGCTTTTCTAAATGAACCATTTACCTTCACTAACAAGTGTGATTGTTGTGAGCACTAAACTGTACATGGCACCAGCAACATATAGTATACATTACTGTGTTCCTGCTGCCAGAACAGTGCTGTGTACTGCAAGTAGCTGATCCTATATACAGTTTCTACAGCTCTTAGTGGGCACACCTGTAAGTGAAGGTAATAGTTCATTTGGAAAAGCTTGGTCAAAATTTTAATAGAAAGCTGGAGTTGGGCTTTAAAAAAAAAAAAACCCTTTGCATTCTGTTCTTTTCTTAGACTAGACTAAACTTTACATACCAGTTTTTCCTTGTTCTTTATTCAATATTTTTTCTGCTCTTTTATCTAGATATCCAAGTACAAGAGCACAGATCAATGAGAACACACATGTTATTCCACCTGGAAAAAAAAAAAAAAAAAAAAAAAGAGGAGGAATGTGAATGAAAACCAAGCAATAAGTCACTGTAAGCAATGGAGTCCCTTCTTTTGTTGATTATAAATCTTACAGCGCTCCAAGTGCAAAAGAATTCATTAAGTTGCCTGAATTATTCTACTCATCTGCAGACCTTCTGCTCTATTCAGTGAAACCTCCAGACATTTCTATAACACACAGCTTTGCTCCCTGTTGCCGCCAAACACTTCCCTGACAGTGAGAGCTACTGTAGGAGGCTTTGTCTTCAGTGATTACTGGAACAGCTAAAAAGGAACACTTTGAAAAACACATCAGATCTCAATGGGGAAAAATATCTTGCCGAATATCTATAGTGCTATGGACTGTTTAATGTTTTAGGAATGCAAGGATGCCCCATCGTTTGATGGAAATGGGAAAATGATCAACCTACAGGAGGACTGAATTCAAAAGACACCCCGAAAATCAAAGTGAAAAAATTACGCAGCAGGCTAGTCCATTTTGCTGAAATGTCATTGCAGCAACCAGAAAAAAAAAAAAAAAAAAAAAAAAACTCTGTAGTTTGTGTGGCCCCCATGTGCTTGTATGCATGCCTGACGTCAGGGCATGCTCCTAATGAGACAACAGATGGTGTCCTAGTGTATTTCCTCCCAGATCTAGACCAGGGCATCACTGATCTCCTGGACAGTCTGAGGTGCAACCCAGCGGCGTCGGATGGACTGAAACATGATATCCCAGAGGTGTTCTATTGGATTTAGGTTCAGGTGAGCGTGGGGGCCATTCAATGGTATCAATTCCTTCATCCTCCAGGAACTGCCTGCATACTATTGCCACATGAGGCCAGGCATTGTCGTGCACCAGGAGGAACCCTGGACTCACTGCACCAGCGCAGAGTCTGCTAATGGGTCCAATGATTTCAACCCGATGCCCAATGGCAGTCAGGGTGCCATTGTCTAGCCTGTAGAGTTCTGTGCATCCCTCCATTGATATGCCTCCTCAGACCATCACTGACCCACTACAAAAAACAGTCATGCTAAATAATGTTACAGGCAGCATAACGTTCTCCACGGCTTCTCCAGACTTTCACATGCTCAGGGTGAACCTACTCATCTTTGAAAAGCACAGGGTGCCAATGGAGACCTGCCCCCCTCCCTTCACTAAAAATCACATAAGAATACAGCTCTTCACCACTTCTTACATCAATTTTTTTTTTTTTTGTTTTCACCCACTTCCTGCTTGAGTGAGGCGAAAATTATGCAACACTGGCCTATAGGTGCATTCTGGGAAGTTCCTGTCAAAATGTTCCAAGAGGCAGACCAAGAGTTCTAGGCAGACTTCCAGGAAGTAAAGGGAGAAGGATTAATCTGCCGTTAGTGAAAAAGAACACCATGAAAAGAATGGTGAGAAAAAAAAAAAAAAAAAAAAAAAAAAAGTATACACAAATAAAAAAAAGCATGCAATCATGAATAGGTATCTAATAATACTAGTCTTTGTTGTAAATTTTAGGATAAAAGGGTGAAGTTCCTATTTAAAAGGCATTTAAACCTTCCTACATGCACCTTGTTTTCCACCTGCATAAGAGGTGCACTGATCATATAGTTTCATGGTGTAATTTGTTGGCTATAGAATACACAGTCTGGTTTCAGACATTTCTGTTCCTGTTCCAGTATGAGGCATGGAGAAGGTATGGCACAGGTTAACGTATGACCTCTGTTTGTAAACTAGGAACTAAAAAAAAAAAAAACTTCCAGTGAAGAAACTATACATTCCACAATCCCCGATTCTCTTAATCTAGCACTGGTGCAGGTATTAGATCTGCCACAGCCACAAACGGCGAGAAATCACCATGCGGGAAAGAATATGTTACATCACATTTGTACTCCTGCATATGTGATGCAACACAGACCAAAGGGTTAGGCATAAATTGGATGATGCCTGACCTGGAACAAATGTAGACAAGCTTGGTGAATGAATACATGGACAAGGGGAAATCGATCAACCATGACACTACAAACTGCAGCCAAAACATGTGCGCCCATCAAAACACTGAAAGGCAAACAAAATTACACCAAGTATATAGCTACACTAATACCTAGTTAACTGCTTAATACTTCTACTACAGCTGTGCGCACATTTTTTTATATATATTTACATACACACACACACACGTGATTTTGGGGGGGTATTACTGTTTGTAAACAAAAACAGTTGTCTCCCGTCATGCTTTGCATAGCTGTGCACTAAATGCACACTTCGTAAAATGCCACACAGTTAACCCTTTGATCGCCCCATGTTAACCCCCCTTTCTGCCATTAGTAGTGTCAGTGCTTTTTATAGGCACTGATCACTGTATTGGTGTCACTGGGGATGCCCAGTTCCCCCCAGTGTGAGAATGTCAGCTGCAATCCCACTATAAGTCGCTGATCGTCGCCATTACTAGTAAAAATTAAAAAAGCCCAATATATATATATACAGTGGGGATCGAAAGTTTGGGCACCCCAGCTAAAAATGTGTATTAATGTGCATAAAGAAGCCAAGGAAAGATGGAAAAATCTCCAAAAGGCAGCACATTACAGATTAGACATTCTTATAATATGTCAACAAAAGTTAGATTTTATTTCCATCATTTACACTTTCAAAATAACAGAAAACAAAAAAAATGGCGTCTGCAAAAGTTTGGGCACCCTGCAGAATTTATAGCATGCACTGCCCCCTTTGCCAAGCTGAGACCTGCCAGTGTCATGGATTGTTCTCAATCATCGTCTGGGAAGACCAGGTGATGTCAAGCTCAAAGGTTTTAAATGCCCAGACTCATCTGACCTTGCCCCAACAATCAGCACCATGGGTTCTTCTAAGCAGTTGTCTAGAAAACTGAAACTGAAAATAGTTGACGCTCACAAAGCTGGAGAAGGCTATAAGAAGATAGCAAAGCGTTTTCAGATGTCAATATCCTCTGTTCGGAATGTAATTAAGAAATGGCAGTCATCAGGAACAGTGGAAGTTAAAGCAAGATCTGGAAGACCAAGAAAAATATCAGACAGAACAGCTCGCAGGATTGTGAGAAAAACAATTCAAAACCCACGTTTGACTGCACGATCCCTCCAGAAAGATCTGGCAGACACTGGAGTTGTGGTACACTATTCCACTATAAAGAGATACTTGTACAAATATGGTCTTCATGGAAGAGTCATCAGAAGAAAACCTTCTACGTCCTCACCACAAAAAAATCATCGTTTGAACTTTGCAAATGAACATATAGACAAGCCTGATGCATTTTGGAAACAAGTTCTGTGGACCGATGAGGTTAAAATTGAACTTTTTAGCCGGAATGAGCAAAGGTACGTTTGGAGAAGAAGGGGCACAGAATTTAATGAAAAGAACCTCTGTCCAACTGTTAAGCATGGGGTTGGATCAATCATGCTTTGGGGTTGTGTTGCAGCCAGTGGCACAGGGAACATCTCACGAGTAGAAGGAAAAATGTATTCAATAAAATTTCAGCAAATTTTGGATGGTAACTTGATGCCATCTGTGAAAAAGCTTAAGTTAAAGAGAGGGTGGCTTCTACAAATGGATAATGATCCTAAACACACCTCGAAATCCACGGGGGATTACATCAAGAGGCGTAAACTGAAGGTTTTGCCATGACCTTCACAATCTCCTGACCTCAACATAATTGAAAATCTATGGATAGACCTTAAAAGAGCAGTGCGTGACAGACAGCCCAGAAATCTCAAAGAACTGGAAGACTTTTGTAAGGAAGAATGGGCAAAGATACCTCAAACAAGAATTGAAAGACTCTTGGCTGGCTACAAAAAGCGTTTACAAGCTGTGATACTTGCCAAAGGGGGCAGTACAAGATATTAACTCTGCAGGGTGCCCAAACTTTTGCAGACGCCCTTTTTTTTTTCTGTTATTTTGAAAGTGTAAATGATGGAAATAAAATCTAACTTTTGTTGACATATTATAAGAAATGTCTAATCTGTAATTTGCTGCCTTTTGGAGATTTTTCCATCTTTCCTTGGCTTCTTTATGCACATTAATACAAATTTTTTAGCTGGGGTGCCCAAACTTTCGATCCCCACTGTATATATATATACACACACACATATACATACACACACACACACACATATACATACACATCGCAATTTGTAATGCTATAACTTTCACATAAACCAGTTTACATGTATTGTGATTTTTTTTTTTTTTTTTTAAGCAAAGACGTGGTAGAATACATTTTGGCCTAAATTTATGAACAAATTTGCTTCTCTCCAAATTGTTTTTTTTTATAGCGCAAAAAATAAAAACTACACAGGCGATAAAACACTACTGAAAGACAGCTCTATTGGGGGGGGGGGGGATGTAAATTTAATTTGGGTGCAGTGTTGCACGACTGTGCGACTGTCAAAGTAATGCAAAAAAAATGGCCTGGTCAGGGGGGGGGGGGGGGGGGGCTAAATCCTCAGGAGAGCAAGAGAGCTCAGTTGCCCTTTAAAAATAGATAGAAAAAAAAAAAAAAAAAAATTTCCCTTTCTCAACTGTATGCAGACCAGCCAGTAATAGTAACAGCACATCATATTTAGCAAATGTTTAGTGTAGTATAACACAAAGCGTACTAGGACTTACCTATCATGAGAGTTATTCCGAGTGTTGTGTAACCTGCAGAGCCCATTGCGTCCTTTATCCGAGCATACACCAGCCCCATGACATTCATATTTACTGTGCTACCCTGAAACAGAACAACTATTGAAACCACAGGGAATATGCTTATGTTCACAATGCATAATCTATAGGTGCTAAACAATCTTTTTTGCATAGTAATGCCATTGAAAATCACTTTACAGTTTGCACATAATATATAAAGTATCATAGTTAAAAAGGTGCTTTTTTTCCATTAACACTGAGAAGCTCAAGCAGTGATAAAAAGGCAGAGCCTCTTGCTTCCCTAGTTCTCAGTTACTTGTCCCTTATTAGACAGCTTTGTCCATGGTTTAACCAGAAAAACTATGCATAAAAGGCAGCTATCTTTTGCAGTACTGGCTTTTTAGATAATCCATAGTCCCTTAGTAAAGTAATCGTTTGTCAGGCATTAAAAAGTTTAATTGTAAAACAAAGATTGTATAAAATACAGAAAAAAAAAAAAAAATACAAAAACAGTTTAAAAAAAACTTAACAAAAAAGCCACCCATTGTGCAGATGCGGTTTTACACAAAAAAATAAGCTTAAATAGACACAGCCCCTCCATCTTAACACAGGTGAATTCCTAAACGTCCAAGCACCTGCTGCGAGTGCCATATATTCTGTATGTAGCATCAGCTATACAGCAATGCATTACAGGAGTGGTATGGGGACTTCCTGTCCTGTTCCAAAACAAAATCGAGTTGGGTTGATCGCTGCTCAGCCATTCAAAGGAAGCACTGCAATTATATGAAGGAATACAAGGCTTCCTCTGATTGACTGAGGTGGAGGAGCATGACATTATCCGAATTCAATGGAATAAGCACAGGTTTTCTTTATTAAGCGTGTCATATTAAAATGTGTTTGGACTAAGGCCTAGGGGCACAAAAATTCAATGTGCTACAAAGCACACCCAAAGTTTCACCAAATGCATACATGTTTATAGACCAAAGCACACACTCATCATGATTCATAGTTACACTGCTACCCACCACTCTAGCCATACTAAGTTGCAATCCAAAAACCAAATTCAGTTCCTTCCCTTTGAACCAGCTCACGGCATACGTATTTTGTGCAACTGCAAGCGATTCCCCACCAATCCTGAAAAACAGCAAATAAAAGCAAAAAACGGTTTAGGATTCACTAAAAATGGTGAGTGGTATCTTATCAAGATGCACACAATCTTTCATGAATGTAAAATATGCTATGAACTCCTTTAAAATTCTTCTACTTTTGGCAACCCTTTGCATAAAATGAAGTTGCATGACTAACAGCAGTGGGTATCCAACAACCGACACCATCAGCTATCTGCTACTGGTTCTCTTGCTGCTATAGTCTATCTAAAAGCTGCCAAGGGACATCAGTTTTTAAACTGGCACCTCATTCCCAAACTCTATGATGCAATACCTTGTGCCCAAGCAACCCATCAGCAAGTCATTACTATGCAGGAAGAACGGGACATGCTTACAGTATATGTCTGCAAAATGTGACTGAACCAGTCTCTTTTCTCTGATTCTCAAGGACTCTGGAGAGCACGACTAGTTGCTGATACTTTTGCAATTTTTTTAAATCCAGGATTTGAATAGAGAAAATAAAGGCAAATATTTTGGTTAAAGTACAGGCTTGTTGTGTTATAACCTGTCAGGTTTTTCTTGCCATTTGTGTTTAATTGGGGATATTTCCCTTCATTCCTGTCCCATAGTCACAACAGTAAATGAGCAGATATATTAACTATGAGTATCTCTCTGTGTTCTCTGTGAGGGGTCTCTCTCCCAATTTCACAGCCACAGAGTGATTTCAATCCCAGCCTTGGTTCCATTGAAGAGGAATATCATATCCTGGGAGCTTCCTGGCCTGCAGGATTTCGCTTTTCCACAAGAGGGCGTTATCATCCATTTCATCACATATCCATTTTCTGACCAGAGGGAGAGAGGGGAATCTCCAGGATTTCTTACACGCATACTTCAAATGCACTTCTGGTTAGTTTGCATTCTTTCCATTGACACTGGGAATTAATGAGCACCTTTTCAGGACTATTATTGTGTTGATTTGCATGATTTGATAGTTTTACAACGCTGCATTTTATATATATGTTTTACTGAGGATTTTTTATATGCGTTTATCCTGGATGTTCAGCTGCTGTTTCTTTGAGAGCGCTCACTGTGTGTCTTTTACCTATACAGCTATGTCAACAGATACATCGTGGCTTGGGATCAAGCTCACTCAGGTGGCACTATAGGAAGTGACTTCCTATGATGGCACACGGAGAAGAGGAGGAACCCAGGTAAGCATAACATGTTTGAAAAGCTTCTTTGTAAAACAAAACAATCACTTTAAAAAGGGGGGTTGCCTTTATTGATACTTTAGCAATGAAAAAAGTTTTACTTTGGTTTTAAATTTACAGATTGAGTCACAATCTACCTATACATGTATTCAGTACCACAACGTGTAGTTTTACTTACGGCGACCTGCAAGTGCCTCCCCACCATGGTTTCTGGGCAGAACACCCATTTCTCAATCTCTATTGTGACATTTGAACCCAGAATCAACAAGTATTTTGGTACTTCCAGGATCCATTTGATAAAGAGTTGTGCAGATGTCTCTGCTTTTAAAAAAAATCTATTGTTTGGGGTTTTTAGGCAGTTTTCAGATTAGAATGTGTAAAAAATTGCCCCAAAACACAAAGTAGTTGAAGTACAAACAAAATGGAATCGTTTACGCCATACACATTTTAAGGTTTCTTGCTTACCGATTTAGCCTACCAACTCACCCAAATACCAGCCGACCAGCTTCCATTAACCAAAAAGCATTAAATAAGGCTCCAGTTGCAAATATAACCTAAAACATAAATAAATAGATGATAAAGCAAAAACTAGCATTTCCTCCCCCCCCCCAAGTTTTCAGTATTTTAGGATATACATGTAAACCATAAAGCAATTTATCTTCTGTGTTCTAGTTATTAAATAGTTGTTTCTGTGCATAAGTCATTCCATATGTTGGCTCTGTTTCATGTCCAATACTATTGCGTGAGCACTGTGAACATTGAAAGATGAACAAAAAAGCAAATAATGTGCTTGGGGGGGAAAAAAAAAAAAAGAAAAAACCTCAAAGTGGCGCGGAAAGTGTTGTGACTTATTTTTAACAGTAGTTTAGCAAGGATGCCAACTAGCAGACAGAGATACAAGAAGGATTCTACAACTTTGTACATGATATACAATTGTTATTCACTATAAAATCCCTGAGTTCATAGGCAGAAAAAGACTGTGCACCTCCTATGGTCAGTCCTCACTGGGCATAAAACCTCCTCTCTGCTTTAGGCCTCCAGTCAGTCACAAGCAGTGTCAAAATGAGAAATTCCAAAGAGAGGTGGGTTCTGTGTCAATGAACTCAGAGAAAAGGATTTTACAGCGAGTAACAAAAAATTCCTGTTTTCTCTTACGTTCATTGGACAGACACAGCGGCTTCTTTTTTATCTATGACTAAACAGGAATGTCCCTAAGCAGTGCCACATTGAGGGGTGGGCAAACCAACCAATAGAGAAGAAACCCAGGGCAATATGCCAATATTTCGAACCACCCCAAGGGATGCCCAAGAGTCCTAAACAGCTGCCTGCAAAACTTTGTGGCCAAAATTAGCATCGGAAGATGCGAAGAGAACTCTATAGAACTAAATGTGTGCAGACGACCAGGTCACCAATTTGAAAACTTAAGAGAACGGACACCTGATGTCGGAAAGCCCAGGAGTTGCTAACCACCTGTGTGGAGTTCGGTATAACAGGGAAAGGAGATTCCCGCCCTTTAATGTCATAAGTCTGCACAATTGTCTGTCGAATCTAAATGGGAAATAGTGGCAGAAGAGGCCAATAAGCCTTTTTTTGGACCATCCATGAGCACAAAGAATCAGACCTGCAAAAAGCTGCCATCATAGAAAGGTACACAAATCACACGAACCACACCCAGAGAGTGTAGAGCCACCTCCTTAAGAGGCGACAGCTGAGGACACCGAGAAGGAAGGACAATGTCCTCATTCAAATGAAAATCTGACACCACCATGAGCATAAAGGAAGGGGAAGGCCAAAGCATCACCTTGTCCTTGTGTAAAACTAGATAAGCCAGCTTACAGGACAAAGCTACCAGGGTGTCGGCACCCACAGAACAGAAAATGATAGTGACTAGGAAGGCAACTTTTTGTGAAAGTACAAGCAAGGGATATATCCGAAAGCTATCAAAAAGGCAGCTTCTGAAAAGTCAACAGAACTAAGTTCAAATCTCACTGTGGTAACAGGGACCGCACAGGGGGCATCATATTAAGAACCCCCTCAACGAAAGTATGAAACAAAGGATGCATGGCCAAGGGATGCTGAAAGAAAAAACAGCCAGAGCAGAGACTTGACCTTTGATTGTGCTCAACACAAGCTACGGATCCAAACCACGTTGGAGGAAACGCCCAAACCACCAAGAAGGAACCCCCAGACTTCACAGCAGACGATATAGGCTCTCCAGGTGCGATGATAAATCTTCCAGGAGGCAGACTTATGGGCCTTTAACAAAGTCAGAATGACCGAGTCAGACAACCCCATCACTCAGAACCTGGCTTTCAATAGACACACTGTGAAGCCAGTGACGGTAAAGCAGGATAGAAGGCTGGTCCTTGAGACAGCCAGTCCTCCTGAAGAGAGGGTCACCAGGGAGCACCTGCTTCCAAATGCACCACGTCAGCATACCATGGACGGTGAGGCCAGTCTGGAGCCACCAGGATGATGGGATCCCTTTGCTCCCTGTCCTGCGTAGTAGACGAGGAAGCAGCAAGAGGGTTGGAAAAGCGTAGGAGAGTTTTGTACTGGTCCCACAGCGCCACAAGCACATCTGCTTGAGGATCCAATAACCATTCCACGAACCATGGAACCTTCTGATTTACGCGATATGCCAGAAGATCAATGTGCAACGTCCCCCAGCGAAGGCAGAACTGATGGAACACCTCCAGATGTAGGGACCACTCGTCCTGATCCAGCGTCTGACAGCTGAGATAATCTGCTTACCAGTTTTCAATGCCTGGAATATGTACGGCAGACGGAGTCGGAACAAACTTTTCCACCCACTGCAGAATGTGAAACACCTCCAGTGCCGCTGCTGCACTCCTTGTGCCTCCCTGAGGATTGACATACTGCAGTGGCGTTGTCTGACGGAATCCTGGTCAGAAGACCCTTTAGGCGATCTGTCAAATATGTCAGTGACATCCTGATTATCCGCAGCTCCAGGACATTGATGGGCAATGAAGCTTCCTCCAGAGTCCAGTGATGCTGAGCAGACTGCAATGAATGAAGGAGGTTCACGAGTTCTGAAACATGCAAGCAGTGGGGGGGGGGGGGGGGCAAACCTTCATGCCGAGGGAGTAGTTCTCCCCAGGCTTTGAGGATCTCTGGGGCCAGGAGTGCCTGGCACCGCCCGTGGGAGTTTTGAAGGGTTTGAGGCCTTTGGCTGGGGAGCCAATGGAAATAGAAATGCGCTTATGTGCCGTGAACACTAGCCCAGACTTCTGACGTGGTTCCTCACCCTTCTTGGCCTAAGAGGAAAGTACTCTTGCCACCCGTAAGGTTCTTGTAGCACCAAATAGGCAGTCGCTCTGAAAGAGCAAGTGCGCCAAGGCTTATTTGGAGGCCTGGTCTTCTGTCCAACACTTGAGCTAAAGAGCCCACCGGAGCACCACTGCTGAATAGGACAGTTTAGAGAGAAGTGGAACTGCATTAAGGGATGCGTCAAACATACTTTAATCCACAGAATTAGCACCATCGGAGGGCACAGGCGTAAAAAAAGGGGATCCCAACAAGGCAAGGGCATTAGTTCAAAAGACAACACTCCTAGACTCTTCTAGTAGCGAGGGGAGAGAAAGAACCCAGGGAGGACTAACCATCGTGACGAGCTGCCAAAGTCACCCACAAGAGGGGACCTCGCAGAACTGACCACACCACGGAGCACATACACACCACACCTTGTTCGGGGAAGGAAGGGGGCACGACTTACTGGTCCACAGGAGCGTGTGGGTAGGGCTCCCATAACAGATCCTCCTCTCCACCGAAGTGGGGGGATGTCGGCCTGGATAACACACTGACATGGGCTATAGGCGAACAGTCACGTGTCCCTGCGAGAATTTAACTCGCAGGCCGCCCTGGTCCAGCACGGGGCATAGTCGCAGGCAACCAAGCCTGGAGATCACTGTTCGTGCGTGCCCGCCCGCTGGTCAGACTGGGGGTGACCACCGGGTCTACATTATCCAGCCCAGCCCGACTGTTGATAGATCTTTGCAGGAGAAATAAAACCCCAGGAAAAAAAAAAAAGGTTGTGTGACCGTAAGTCTCAGCAAAATGTCACGTCCATACTGAAGACACTAGGCAGAAATTACTGAAGGCCTATAGCACAGAGGGGGTTTTATGACCAGAGAGGACTGCCCAGAGGAGCAGAGTCTTTCTGCCTATTATCCTATAAAACCCTGTTTGGTCATGGATAAAGAAGCAGCAACCGTGTCAATTAACATAAGAGAAATGATATATAATATGTTATCAAATGTCACTCAGGTAAACACTAACTCTTAGAATTATATTGCCACCATCTGCTGTCCTGCAGTGTACTGGCAGGTTCCCATTTTACTTTGCTTGAAAAACACTGAAGACAGTTTTGTATACGGGAAGGGGGGGGGGGGGGGGGGGGGGGAGGTTATTTGATTAAGCAGGGATCCAGCAATTTTTCATGTACAATAACCCAACAGAAATCAGTTTTAGGTTACTACTTAGTCATCAGAAATACAGGTTCTCTAATATGTTTAATTTATTTTGTACTTTTGATGCTCAAGTAGACCTTTCTCCATTGGAAACCAATAGCCAAGTTCTTCTGTTTCTATCACAAATGGACAAGAAAGTACTACTTCCTTTTTTTAACCGCCTCCCACCCGCCATATAGTAATATGACGGACGCAAGGTGGTTCTCTCGTTCTGGGAGGACATCATATGACGTCCTCCCATTCTAACCGCACATGCGCAGCTCCTGGAGCGCACAGCGCGGCGATCGATGGTTCGTTGTGTTCCTCGGACACAGTGGATCACTGATCATGGAAAGAGCCGAAGATGTCGGCGCGGTCGTGATCAGCTGTGTCCAATCACAGCTGATCACATGTAAACAGGGAAATGCCGGTTATTGGCATTTCTCTCCCCACGAGCTGTCACGCTGACAGCTCGTGACGAAAGGAGAGTCGGTAATCGGCATTCCTCGGAGGGGACATGTACACAGATCAGAGCACTGATGATCAGTGTGCCCTGATGATCTGTGTAGCCCCAGCAGCGCCACACTTGTCAGTGTCCATCAGTGCTAGCTCTCAGTACTCATCCGTGCCATATGAGTGCCGCCCATCAGTGCTGCCTCATTAGCGCACTTCAGTGAAGGAGAAAAATCACTTACTTACAAAATTTTTATAAAAAAAAAACTAAGAAAAAATGTTTTTTTCTACAAAAATTTTCAGTTTTTTTTTGGTTTAAGAAAAAATAAAAAACCCAGAGGTGATTAAATACCACCACAATAAAGCTGTCAGAAAAAAAAAATGATAAAAGTTTCATATGGGTACAGTGTTGCATGACCGCCCAATTGTCATTCAAAGTGCAACAGCGCTGAAAACTGGAAATTGGCCTGGGCAGGAAGGGGGTATAAGTGCCCTGTAGGCAAGTGGTTAAAGGCCAACCAAACACAACAAAGTTGGGGGTCTTGTTGCACATGCTTAAATCAGCAATCAGGGAATGAGAGTTTTACTGACAGTAAATAGTATGACACTAAGAAATGCTTACCTGTCCAGCGCATACAAAGAGACTAAATATAATTGTTCCCAATCTACAGGGAGGAAAAAAAAAAAAAAAAAGTGTTAATTAACTGTGCATCTTAAAGCCCAATAAGTAGTCTAGTACATATCCTGGTAGCTAGATGCAAATTATTAAAAGTACATGCTTTAAAAGCAACTATACCTAAAATAGAAGATAAACTAGCAAAAAGGTTGAACACTCCGCAAAAGAGGTTTAGAGGTTCTGGTTTATTTTTTGAGACACAGAGCAATGTTAAGATCATCATGCACACTGAACGTTTTTGCTGCTGCTGTTTTTGGCTTTCGGCATTTTTTTCTATAGCCAGTAAACTCCCCAGCATGTCCTATGTGTCCATGCACACAGAATGTAATCTGCTTTTTTTGGCAGAGGCATTTTTTTGGCTGAAACAAAACCTAAAAAAACAAAAAAAAAAAAAAAAAAAAAAAAAAAACACCCCAGAACGAGTAGGTTTCTAGGAGTTTTTTTTTTTAGCTGTAACGCAGAAAAACAGAATTTTTGGACTTTTTTTCAGCAAATAATTTTTTTGGGGTAAAAAAACGCTAAACACTAAAAACAGCAAAGATGGCAGAGAGTGGAAAAACATGGCTAAATGCAAATGCAAAACCGCTAAAAAAAAAAAACTTGCATTTTTAACAGGACTTTACACAGATAACACTACCAGCGTTATTAGAGCGCCCAGAGTGCATGGAGCCTAAAGTGAAAATACTTGCAGCAGATTTCAGTGCTTCGATTCTGAATGCAAGCCTGTTCTGATCAGGCACAGATCAGAAACTTCCGAATAATAAATCTTGCCTGCCTACATATGCTTCCCATATCATCTGTAAGACAACCTATGACAGTGACAGATCTAAAGCAATATGAAGGTGGAGGGAAAGGCGACAGACAAAGCAACACTGCAAGCAGGTGCGTGAGCTTTGTAGATCAGAACTGCCTGACAAATGTAGACGGGCACTGATAGCTGTGCAGCTATATGCAGATATCCTTAGTGCCTTGCAGTTTATACCTTTCAGCAGATTGTTTTTTGGTACAGTGCAATAGTCACCAGTAACCAATCAGAATTAATCTGTTCTGACTGGTCATTTTTGGGTTACTGGGTTTTAATCCTAAAATCCAGGCAGCAAATAAATCACAAATACCCTGGAGTAGGCAAACTTAAGATATGTTGGAGTCATTTCTTTTCCAGATCTGTACAGTAATCTAAATGTGAAACTCTGCCTCTGCACAGGAGCTTCTGTAATAAAGACCACTGTTGCCCTCTCCACTTGTGCGGGGGGTGACTGGTCATGTATTCCTCAAAACAATTTCACCGTTTACATACACTGCTGTGTCATCTCGCATATATCAATCCAAACACAGCCCTACTTGGTATTACCCGCGACACTTCTTCATGCTTGAACACTGCCCTGACACACCCTCTGCCCCCTCTTGCCCATACTATTTCTCCCTTTCCTATTCTTCTGGGAGTCTCTCTGCATAACTGTATGCTTTCCTTTTTCTTCCCTATATCATTACTTCTCTTTTCCTTATCGCTCTCTGGTTTATTTAGGAGTTATTGGGACTAATTGTCTGTAGATGTGTTTTATACATCTTTTTGCTTGTCGTGATGTTGGATGGACTTGCCCATCACATCATTGTGTATGTCTTTTCCACGTTGTATATGTCTATCCACATATGCTAGCGACACCTTGATTTCATTAATGCACTGGCCATGTTGACACAGTTATTCTTCATGTGTCTTATTCTACAGGTGATTTATTCCTTCCTTTTTTTTGTATTTTAGTATCAATAACAGAAAATCTCTAATAAAAATATATTCAATCTAAAAAAAAAAAAAAAAAAGAAGAAATTAATAGGGGCTATGTAGTCCTTTTGTTGAAAGTCTGCATACCCTTAATCTGTGATATTAGGCACTATTACTATTAAACAAATTAAAATGATCAACAGTACAGAATATCTAATACTCATAGTACTTACTAGTTGGACTAGAGGTGAACACCTCAATTGAATCCCTCCATAACAGTTTCTAGTGTGAATAGAAATACCTACCGAATTCCAAATACCCGGTCAATCAAAAATCCTCCAAAGAAACAAAGAACAACATTGGGCCAGGGAGTAAAATGCATATAACTGCATGAAATTTGCTGTATTCACCTTCATGTCCTGTGGGGGGGGGAAAAAAAAAAAAAAAAAAAAAAAAGGAAGAATTATAGCTTATTATAACAACTGGTTGGGACATTAAGCTATATAATTTTTCACGGCTCTATGCACACTACAAATCCCACAGTCTATAGTCCATCTAGAACCTCATGCACACTGGACATTTTTTTCAGCTGCTCCTAGGGGAGACTGGCTTTTTAATTTTTCCTATCTCTAAATGCCCCTGCATGTTAGCCTATGTATCTATACACTCATTAAAAAGGAGTTTATAGGCATAGGCATGAAAAAAAACCCACTGCCAATGCATCCAGGAGCAGCAGTGTTTTGGCAGGAAAAACACTTGATGCTTGCAGACGTGTGTAAATGCTAGGTGCGTTTAGTGCTTGAGTGTTAATTCATTTCAATGGGCAGAATTATTATTCTGGCCATTGAAATTAATTACTGCCCAAATGCTTGACGCGGCTAAGTGTGCCAAATTGAAAGATGTCTAGGAGAGCTATAGAAACGTCCTATGTGCATGAGGCCTAAGAGCGAGAAAGAGAGAGTGGATGGACACCTAACAGGAAGAAGTCAGATTGCAACAGAAACCAAAAATTAAAAAGAAATTTGGAACAACTAAAGAACGTAGTTTGAGTTAAGAATACATAGTTGAACAGATTTCTGGGGTTTTTTTTAGCCAGAGTTTACTTTAAGTGAGGGCTGATGAACTCACCAAACACCATAACTGAAAATGTTTATTTACTTTTCTTGAGTATCTTGGTAGGGTACAAAGTTTCAAAATGTTAGCACAAGGACAAGCGCACTAAATTTTTCTTCCCCCCAAAGCACAGGCTTTCATGTCTTTTTGTAGGAAAATGTAGAAATGTAGAATAGTTTTAGTCAGTTTTGTTTTAAAGTCCATCTGCTGTTCTACTCCTACAGCTAAAATACACCAATCCAGGTATCCACTTTAAAACATACCTCAGTAGGAAATGAAACCAAATGGGAAAAAAAGGTTAGGAACATAATCTGGATTTTATTCTGTCCCCATCACATCATGTCTGCTTGACGGGTGTTTGAAAGAACATAGGACACAGCAGGAAAAAAAACACAAATGCCCCCATTTTATTTAAAAAAAAAAAAAAAAAAAGAAATCTCAGTAGATATAACACACAACACACACACACACACACACACACGTAAATGCTATAGCTTTCACGTAAACCAATTAATTTACACGTATTGGGATTTTTATTTTTTAGCAGACATGTAGCAGAATACATTTTGGCCTAAATTTGTGACAAAATTATTTTTTTTTTTATTGGACGTTTAATAGCAAAAAGTCAAATATATTTTTTTTGTCAAAATGGTTGGTCTCTTTTTTTTTTGCTATAAAAAAAAAAAAAAAAAAAAAAAAAAAAAAAAAAAAAAAAAAACACAACACACACCACGGCTCAGGTGATCAAATACCACTGAAAAAAAAGCTCAAATCGTGGGGGGGAAAAAAAAAAAAAAAAAAAAAAAAAGGACAAAATTAATGCAGCATTGCATGACCATGCAATTGTCAGTTAAAATAACATGGGGCCGTAATGCAAAAAAAAGGCCTGGTCAGGAAAGGGGGGGTAAATCCTCAGGAGGGCATGTGGTTAAATTACAAGTGACATTCATAATAGGGTGCATCTAAAAACACTCTACTAATGCATTAATACTACAAAGCAGTGCTACGCATTAATCAAATTAAAAAATAATTACCTGCACTTCGTAGATAACAAAACTGGAGGTAATTAGGATCAACTCCAAGTTTGTGTACAGGGACAGGCTGAGTTCCAGTCCCTGTACACAGAGTAACAGAGCATCACATCTGTCACAGCTACCCTCTTCCCTACCAACTTTGTTAAGGTGATAAAAGTTTTTTTTTTTTTTTTTTTTTTTTTTTTTTTTTTAACATGTCATACTTGCCTGCTCTGCGCAATGGTTTTGCACAGAGCAGCCCCAATCCTCCCTCTTGGGGCCTGCACTCCTGGCTCCTTCCCTGTGTTGAATGCCCCCAAGGCAAGCAGCTTGCTTGTGCATACTCGTTCCCGAGCCATCTGTGTGTCTATAAGACACAGAGAGCGCAACTCGGCCCCACCCCTAATCCCTCCTCACTGGCTGTGATTGACAGCAGTGGGAGCCAAATGGTTAGCGATTAGCTGTCTTCACTATACAGACAGGTGTTGCAGACATGCACAAACAGCAGGAAGGAGGAAAAACAACAGCCCTTTGGAAACAAGTACAATGAAAAGACAACTGTCAACAAGAGAAATCTGTAGAGTAACTATAGAAAACACTTACCAACTGGACCTGTGTTTGTAGTGCTGCTGGATTGTCATAGCAGAAATAGCTACCTAAAAATGAAAAAGTTAAGTCACAAAAATTTAGAAAATGCAAAATGAAATAAATTCAGTATAAGCTTATGCACTACCTGCACATTCTTTAAGCAGCTACTTCGTAAACCCAAATCCCATAATGCAATGCAAGTTTCAGATGTTGTCTGGTTCTTTAGCATTTGTCCACACACAGCTATCTCAAGTACTCCTGAGTTGATGCAAAAAGTGACTGATATTTTCTGTTTATGTACGCCCTCAAATTACAATTAATCAGGACTGTTGATTGTTCAACTACAGTGCAGCCACTGCACTGTAGGGTGGAGGTGGTGCACATGCTCCATTTCCAGAAAGAAGAATCAAAGTGGGTGGAGTACAGGGTAGCAACAACATATGTTTGCATTCAACATCAGCCCCACTTTCCTTTATATTAAATTTAGCATAAAGGTACAGTATTTCAATTATTTTATAGCTAGAGTCCCCCACCCTAGTGACTTTATATTTCTCTGCAACCACTTCTATCACCTAATCAAAAATGTATATGAACAGCATACAAGGCATTTTGTGAATCAGAGTGGAAAGGACAAGGAGAGAAAAACTATCACTGCTCTGCATGAGAACCAAAACTAGCAGTCGCAGTGCTGGAAGAGTGGAATGTATTGTATTTGGAAAGAATGAATGGTCATTTCTATGGTAATAGCAGCAATTCTGAACCTATAATACTTTCAGCAATCTGGACTTCAATTTCTCTGCATGTGCTCAAGACAGCCCAAGTCCTGGTCTGAAAACCAAACGGTGAATTTTATAGGTATGCATGCTGTCAGAAACATACAAGTAAAAAGAATCATGAATGCCTAGATTGCTAAACTGCACAATTTCAAGCAGATGAGATACAAACATTCCCCCCTCCCCCCCCCCCAACAAGTTATTTCCCTAATCTACAGGCCAGGACAAAAGTTTTGAGAATTACACAAATATCAATTTTCACAGTCTGCTGCCTCAGTTTTTATGATGGCAATTTGTATACAGTGGTGTGGAAATTTTTGAAAAAACTACTTGTCTAGGGACTAAATTCATGTCCCAATCTACTTTTCCAGATTAAATAAAAATGAAATTTTAGCCAAAACGATTTAAATCTGAGGAATGTTTTGGGCTCTTAAAATCAAAAAGGGGCTTTATGGTGACAAACAGCACAATGTTAAAAAATAATAAACGTTTATCTCCTCCTCCCCTCCCTGCCTGCCTGTCTCTAGCACCACACCCAGGTACTAGCAGGGAGGGGAGAGTGTAATGAGCACTCATTGGGTGCTAGTCAGGAAAGGGGAGTGTCAGGCTTATCCTTTATCCCTTTTGCTACCACAGCATTGTTATGTTTTTTGCGCACATTTAAAAAATTATGTTGGGGCTGAAGATTACACAAAACCCCCAAACATATTACTCTTCACCCTAGAGAATAAAATAGTGGTAGTTCCAATTTTTATGTCGCATGATAGATATTACCGCAAAGTGTCAGTAAAAAAAATGCACACAAGTTAATTTTAGGGCACAAAAAATAAATAAATAAGCCTTTTTTTGTAATAGAAAAGATAGGTTGCACCAAGAAAAACAGATATCCAACATGTCAAAACATTACATTTGTGTGTGCTCGTGAAATTGCGACAAACTCCCATACCCTGTATTCACTCCCCTTCCTGACCAGGCCATTTTTTACGTTATGGCACTGTGTTACATTAACTGACAATTGCATGGTAATGCAACTCTGCACCCAAATGAAAAATTTCCCCCCACAAATAGAGCTTTCTTTTGGTGGTATTTGATCACCTGTGTATTTTTAGAGCTATAAAAAAAAAAAAAAAAAAAAAAAAAAAAAAAAAACACAATTTTGAAGAGAAAAAAAAATGGCAGGAGTTTATTTTCACCCATAAATCTTCTGTATCTAATTATATACAGGAAAAAATTATAAAATTGCTTTCTAGATGGGACCAGGACCCGGTTTCCATTTGCCGTATCTTCCCCTCCGCTTCAGATGTTTGCTGGTGCTGTCTCAGGGAGAGAGGAATGCATCTACATGTATGGTGGGATTGTGATCTCATCAGCCCTCTCTGGTCTAAGATTTTTCAAATATATTCTGATATATTTGAGGACTCCCTCACTCCATCTCCCAAAATTGCGCTATTATCCACACTACCTGGTACTATCAGATCACAAAAAACGAATCTTCTACAGCAGGGCTTGAAATTTCCGCTCGCCCAATGCGAGGGAAAATCCCTTTGTGGCGAGCACAGATGGAGTGGGTGGCTTGCAATGAGATTCCCAGGCATTGATTTGCGTTCCACTTGTGCTCCCTCGTTGTGAAGCAGACTGCCGGTTTCTTCTTCTTCGCCGCGGGGGACACGAGGCCCACTCTCCACCGCTTTCGGGGAAAATGACTTGTGTATGGCCAGCTTAAGGTGAGCTGCTTGCATGCACACTACAGGTCGTTACTCATTGTCACAGTTAGAATGGAGCACCACTCAATTGTTTGAAGTTTTGTATAGAGAGAAAGGGCTAGAACCTATGTATTTTACTGTTGTCTGTATCTGGCGAGATTACAAAGACTAGGAAATTGGGCATAATGCCCCACCATTTACACTGTTTTTGCCAACATCCCAAATATTGAAACAGACAACTATGGAAATATCTCCCTGGGACTTTGAAAGGCAAAAAAAAAATGTCTACACAGGTATAAAACAATAAAATGTTTATTGCAACAAATTATTTTTTGATAAAAAAGAAATTGAAAGACTCAGTGAGGTTGAGCTGCAGTAGAACAATGTATGACTTAAAAGTAGAAAACATACACAGTGTGCATATCCTGAGAGTCTAATTATTTCAGACTGTCCAGATATGCACATTGTGTATGTTTTCTACTTTTAAGCTTTAAGGGGGCATGGTTGGGGGCGGTCCTGGGCAAGGTTGGGTAGGGCAACTGGTGGAGAGTAAGGTTTGTGCCTGGCTAGTAGGTTTAGAGTCAAAATTTTAAGCCCTGTCTACTGCTTTTCCTTCTCGGCCCACCAACTCATTTCCAGATTTTGGAAAACTACAACCAGTCCACTCCCATCTCTTTGGGTAGATATTTTAAACTATACTATGTTAATGGAAAAAATGCAGGCAGCCGAAATGGATTCAAGGGTGAAATGTAATTCTTTATGGTCAGCCTGGAGTCAGTACTCTGAGAATTTAGGGAATACGTTTTAACCACTCCCATGGTTTTGGTTTCTCCTTAGCTATGGGGTGAAAGGAATTGGATTGATAGGACTCTTCCCTCTGTCCCGTTGTGTCCCTGTACCCTTCCCTGCCCATGCTATTTCTATTCTTCTTGGAGACTGTCCCTGCTTAGCCTCTCTCTTTCTTAACCCTTTTTCATATTATTCTTTTCTCTGATTTATTCAGGAGTTATTGGGACAAACTGTCTGTAGATGTTGTGTTTTGGCCATCTTTTTTGCTTGCTGGGATACTGGATAGAATTGCTCTTCACGTTATTGTGTATGTCTATCTACATCGTATATGTATATTTACATCTGTTAAAATCCTGTTTCTTCAATAATGTACTGGCTGCACTGGCCATATTGACACTGTTACTCTTTATGTGTCCTGTTCTGCATTTCAAGTTTTTCTTGGTGCTTTTGTACAAGTAAAAAAAAAAAAAAAAAATTTTAAATCAAAAAACTTAGTCATAAATTTAGGCCAAAATGTATTCTGCTACATGTCTTTGCTATAAAAAAAAAAAAAAAAAAAAAAAATATGTGAAAGTTATAGCGTTTACAAATGGCAGTGTATACACACTGGAATTTTTATTTTATTTTTTACTAGTAATGGCGGCGATCAGCGTCTTATAGCGGGACTGCGGCAGGCATTCTGACACTGGGGGGGGGGGGGGGGGGGGGGGGACTGAGGGTGTCACTGATATCCCCAGTGACACCAACACAGTGATCAATTGTAAAAAAAAACTGACACTGTACTAATGGCACAGCAGAAAAGGGTTAACATCTGGGGTGATCAAAAGGTTAACTGTGTGCATTTTACTATGGGGCTGTGTCTGTGCTTTCCACTGTAAGCACACTGAGCCATACAAAGCAGTGTGCAGCAGCTGACAGAGGAAAGAACTGTATTGTTTACATACAGTTCTCTTCCCCGTCGGTAATACTCGGTGATCACCGGGTGCCGACAAGTAATCATTGGTTTGACAGGCAAGGATGACGGCGCGGGTAGGGTTCACACATGCCCCCTACCCAGAGATGCAAAATCAAATAACATAGATGTTATTTTGTGCACCCCTACCGCCCTGTAGCAGTATTTCTGCTATAGGTTGGCGGTAAAGCAGTTAAAGCCACTTACAGGTCATCAGTATAGTGTACGGAGAAGGTCTCATGCTAGAATTTTTTCTCTTATCCTGGTGTGAGCAGCAATATGCAACATGTGTATAGCAAACGACGGTTTCATGCGTAGGCGCTCCAGCGCGTGCTTTTACGTGTATATGTGCGTATATGGGGGGGGGGGCCTTCAATTTTTTTTGTGAGGGTGATGTTATGTGCTTGGGTGTAGCTTTCATTTTTTACAATATTTGTTTTCATTGCATAAGGGACAAAGTTCACTGTAGGGGGCTGTGTAGAAGCAATCAGCGGAAGCGCTGCCGCATATATGCTTCCATCTGACAGGTGAGCTCTGCTGCTTGCCCGCAGCAGGGCTAAAGGTAAAAAAAAAAAAAAAAAAAAAAAAAAAAAAACAACTACCTGTCCTAGGCATCAGGCGATATAAATTCAACATCCCTGGTATATACTCCAGAATGTTATGAAGAGTGATCAGATGAATTGCAAAGTCACTCTTTGCCATGAAAATTAACTTAATCCAGGAAAAAAAATAAACCCCACCACCATTTCCATTGCATTTCAGCCCTGCCACAAAAGGACCAGCTGACATGTCAGATATTCGCTCGTTAACACAGGCATCAGTGTTCAGGACAAGGCTGGAGATCACTCTGT